GGTGTAGTTATCCTGGAGCCCAGTGCCTGGCAGTCCCCAAGTAAGTTGTCAAACCTTCTGCCACCATACCCACTACATAACGTTGAAGTGGTTATAGTGCTTAGAAGTATTTCTCTTTTTTACATGCACAAGCATGTTTTCACTTTTCAAGATTCTTCTAAACAAAAAGGATAGAATATATGTTTGTCTTTTTACAGGTTAGAACATCTTAGCTATGTGTAGTATACTGTAGACCTTCCAGACAGATGTTTGAACATTTCAGTGTACTGATATATTGACTGTCTCTTGCAGATGCTCCAGTCTCCGAGCTGCACGATCTCTTCTGTAAGAAGTTACAGCAATGCTCCATTATCTTCCATTTTATGGACTGTGTGGCTGACCTGAAGGGCAAAGAGATTAAGAGGGCAGCTCTGAATGAACTTGTAGAATGCATTGCAACCAACAGGGGTGTCCTGATAGAGCCGGTGTACCCTGAGATCATCAAAATGGTGAGTGCAAAGAAAAAAGATATGGGCGCTAGAAATCAATATCTGCAAAGGAATATGCAAAGGCTAGGTATAGAAAAAGTTTCTAGTTCAGTACCAAGAACCCCTGCTGTTGGAATTTTGAAAACACACATCAAAGCATAGCTCAGTCATGCTGAACTTGCAATTGCAAAATTGATATTCCTTCATTGTTTCAGGTTTTAACTACATAGTAATATCTCATGATCTTTGTACAGTCTTGTTAAAGGAGGTTAAAACCCCTTCAGCCACTTACCTTTCTCCAGCGCCGGGCTCCCTCTGCCCTCTGTGTTGGGGAATTCTCCTCCTCCTGCCGACGTCAAATCCGAAGGCGTGACAAGAGCTGCGCATGCATTCAAAGTGCCCATGGGAAAGCATTACTCAATGCTTTCCTCTGGACGTCCAGCGTCTTCTCACTGTGATTTTCACGGTGAGAATCGCTGAAGCGCCTCGAGCGGCTGTCAGTGAGACAGCCACTAGAGGCTGGATTAACCTTCAGTGAAACATAGCAGTTTCTCTGAAACTGCTATATTTTCAGCTGCAGGGTTAACACTAAAAGGGACCTGGCACCCAGACCACTTAATTGAACGGAAGTGGTCTGGGTGCCTATAGTGGTCCTTTAATGAACAAGTCACAAGACATTGGTTTGAAATTATATTGTATGTAATTTTTTTATAATGTTATCATATATCCTGAAGGATGTGTGTTTTTCAGCGTAAGCAAATGCAGCTTTCTAGGTAGGTATGTTGCTAGGGGAAAACTGTTTTGGCTGGAGCGCTAAACAGGGCTCTGAAAAGTTGAGTTATACATCTTTTATCCTATTTTTGTTAGCTCTTCCGTAGGGGCACTTGGGGCAGCGCCCCACCCATTTTATGTGGGAGGTAAGCCAAAAAATGTGGGCATTGGTGGCTATTTGGAGAAGCTTACTTGAGAGCACCTAGGCATGTCAAAAAAAATGGGACAGGTTTCAAAAATGCCCTGTTTGAGAAGGATTTGCACATGCCTAGTCTCCTTTAAGAAGGAATGTCATGAATTCCCACTGAGTTGCCATTTGGGCAGCAGAGCCAGCTGGCCATGAGTGGAGGCATGCTGGTGGCTTTTCTATTCAGGGGCCATCATTGGCTGATAGCACCAGGAGGTGGGGCTACAGTGCTCACAAAAGAGAAAACAAGAAGTCATCTTGGAAACAGCACAGGGAGAGCACAGCAGGAGCAGATCCTGGCCCCTGCTAAATGTAAGTATATAATTGTATGTCTGTCTCTCCCATAATAGCCCTAGTGCCTGCTTGTGCGCTGATTAAGGAAGGGATTTACTAAAATATATAATTAATATCTATAAAGCCAGGGGTGACAAGGGGAGGTGACCATTTCTGACCCAGAGCACTGTGCTGCTTGTTACTGATAGTTGTAATAACTCCTACTGCACATTCCCACCATTTTCTTTAATGTACTCAGTCACTCTACATCTGAAATCTGAGAAACTTTTGCTAGCTGAAACATTGTGAAGTTTCAAACTGCAGGACTAGGGCTGTGACTCTGATAACTGATCTGATTCTGAGTTCAATCTGTTTTAATCTGTAATGATTGTTGATTCTGTTAACCATGTCAGCTATTTCTTGACTCTATATTACCACTGCAGATTCATAATATTGGCAGCTGCAACGGTAATAAGGAGTCTATCGGTGTCTTGATGCTTTGACCCTGTGCCTACTGCATGCTGAGACCTAATAGTGAGAGTCAGAGTAGCTGACATGGTTGGAGTCTATCAGTATGTTGATGCCTAAACCAAGTGCACACTGTGTGCTGAGAGCTAATAGAGTAGCTGAAATGTTTCGTAACAGCAGCTATATTTAATAGAAAGCTAAAGATATCATAGCAGGAGAAGTACAGAAGATGAGATCATCTAAGTGAGTGTTCGGAAGATAGAAAGGGAGCTAGGGCATTTTGGAAAGACATGTACTGTGTGAGGATCTCAGTAATGCATCTTTGTGTCTCCATCACAGTGACCCTGGCTGTGTGGGACAACTATGACTACCTCCTTATTGTGCCCAGCTCTGTGTGTTATCTGTATTTTACTCAGCTCTACCTGTTGCAGATGTGTATCCTGGTTTTGTGCTGCCCTAGGCAGGACAAAACTCAGGAGCCCACCCCAACCCCCCCGCGCCAGCCCCCCCCAAGCCTTCTAAATACACACACATTCACTGACAGATACGCATACATTCGCTAACAGAAACACACACACACACACACACTAACAGACACACTCACACTCACCAACAGACACACACTCACTGACACACACACACTCACACTAACAGACACTCACACTAACAAACACACACACATTAACAGACACACACTCACTGACACACACACTCACACTAACGAACACACACACACACACTAACAGACACACTCACTCACTGAACACACACACACACTCACGAGCAAACACACACTCACTAGCAGACACACACTCACTGACACACAGTCAGACACGCTACACACTAACAGACAAACACAGTCAGGCACACACACTAGCAGACACACACTCACTCACTAACTTGAACACACACACACTCCACACACACACTCACACACACAGTAACAAACACACACACATTAACACACACACTCACTGACACACACACACACTAACACACACAGACACACACACACTAACAGACGCACACACTCACTAGCAGACATACACACTCACTGACACACAGTCAGACACACAGTCAGACACACTAACAGACACTCACTCACTAGCAGACACACACACAGTCAGACACACACACACACACCAACAGACACACACACATTAACAGACACACACACATTGACACACACACACATAGTCAGACACACACACACATAGTCAGACACACACACTCACTAGCAGACACACACACTCACTGACACACAGTCAGACACACACATACACACTAACAGACACACAGTCAGACACACACTAACAGACACACACTCACTCACTTGCAGACACACACTAGCAGACACACACACACACTCACACTCACACAGTCAGACACACACACTAACAAACACACACACACACTCACACAGTCACACACACTAACAAACACACATACATTAACAGACACACTCACTCACATTAACACATTTTATTTTTTATTTTTTTTATTTACCGCCCCCACCCCCCCCAACCTCCTTACCTTTGGTGGTCCAGTGGCTGCCGGTCGGGCTGGTGGCGAGGGAGCTCTTCCTCTGAGCGGTCTGCTCAGCTCCCTCGCGCACCGCAGAGTGAGGCTGGGAGCCGGAATATGACGTCATCAACCCGGCTCCCAGCCTCACTGTGCGGCGCGCGAGGGAGCTCAGCAGACCGCTCAGGGGAAGAGCTCCCTCGCCAGCCGCCCGCCCGGCCGGTCAGTTAGCCGCGAGGCTAACTAGACATTTGCCCTGCTAAAACGCCCCTGACCTGTTGTATGGGTATCTCTGTAATCTACCTAGTTCAGTGTATTGTATAGGCAGGGCCGCCATCAGGGGGTGACAACCATGACGGTTGTCACGGGCCCGGCGGTCCTGGGGGGCCCGGACTGCACAGGTAATCCTCTGCATGCCCGGGCCCCCAGCCCTTCAATCTGCATATATATATAGAGAGAGTACCGCTATGTATATATGCCTCTGCGGGCCCAGGATATACTTACCTTCCCCTCCAGCACTCTCGCGAGCCACAGCAGTAAAGCGTTGCCGCGGGTTGTCATGACAACCCTCCGCGGCACGCAATGCATGCTGGGCTCGCGTCCTGGCTGCAGGAGGGAGTCTGCTGGGCTCCTCCTTGCTGGCCCAACACGCAGAGCCACCGGACCACCAGGGAATCCATTGTCCCCCCTCCCTGACTACAGGTAAGAGGCAGGGAGGGGGGAATACATTTTTTTTTTTTTAATTACAAACAATTCTACAGAAAAAAAAAACCAAAATGCCTCCCAGCAGCATTTGTCACACATCCACCACACACATACATCAAACAGACAAACTGCATCCACTACACAACCATACACATCATCCACTACACAACCACACACATCATCCACTACACAACCATACACATCATCCACTACACAACCACACA